TGGGGAAGCGCCTCCAGGCCTCGTTCGCGACCCACGAGGCGGGGTTGGCGGGGTCCCAGTCCCGCGGCCTCCTCCCCGGTCGGAGCCGCGGCGCAGGGTGGGCGCGATGGACGTGCTGAACCCGGTGGAGCTGGTGAAGGGCCTGGGAAGGCTGGCGGGTCACGGGCCTCTGCGGCCGGTCTGCGCCCCCCTCGGCTGGGGGTGGCGGGGGTCCCTGTTTGCCCAGGAAGCCGCCCATGAGGAGCAGCGAGGCGACTCGGCGACTCTGAGGACCGCTTCGGCCTCTGAGGTTTCCTACATCCGCCGGCTCCACCGAGTCCCGGCGCGCAGGGTTCGGTGACGGTTGGGATCCCGCGCGAGGGAAATGCGAGGGTGTTGGGGCGCCCCGCACCCGCGGCCCCGCGCCAGTCGAGCAGCGTCAGCGGGACCCGGGCGCGCGGGGCCGCGGCAGCCCCGCAGGCTCTGCGGTTTGGAGGCCGGAGCTATGCGCTCGGCCGAGGAGAGGGTTCCGAGGGGACGTGAGTCGTGAAGGGCTGGGCCGGGCGTCGCGCGGATCCCCGGAGTCGGAGCCGGGAGAGCAGGACCGGACACCGCGCAGCCGACGGCGGGCGTGCGCAGTGCGCCGGGTGGGGCCGCCCGTGGCGAGATGGCGACGTGGCTGAGCTCGGAGCAGCGGTGCTTTCGGGGCTCCGGCTCGGGGTGGGGAGAGGCCTCGGGGCCCGCCCGGCTCAGAGGGCGCGCGTGGGAGGCGACCCTGGGGGAGGCCGGGAGCTTGGCCCCCTGGCAGAGGACTGGCACCTGCTGGTTGCAGGAAGGCAAGTGCCGCCGGAAAGGAGACACAGCCCCTCGGTCCTGGCTGGTCCTAGGGTCAGGCGGGGCCTCCTCTCCCCACCCAGAGCCGGAGCCCCCGAAGGCGCCTCCTTCCCGAGCTCCGTCCCCTCGCCATTCACCGGCGCGGCCCGCCGGGCGCAGCAGCCGAGCGCCTGGATGGGAGCAAAGACGCGGACACGGCTTCACCTGCTTTGGGACCGAGTGGGCTTCAAAGGGAACGCATTCTTCAACGACCTTTCTGGAAAGAGTGGGACTCAGTTCGTGCCAATTGTATTGTCATTAGAAGGAACTTTTTTCGTCTTTAAACGTTATTTGGCTTTAAAACTTCGAGAATGTTAGTCACCTGGTTGATCCTGGCTTGGTGAGAAATTGAGCCTCAAATTCAATGAGACCTTATGTATTCGCATAAAAATCGGTTATTTGGTTTCTCTACCATAATTGTATCCAACTTGTTCGTCTATTTTCCCCTTTAAAATGATCTATTTTCTGATTTTAAGGAGGATTTAGAAAAGAGTGTTTTATTGTTTTTATAGTAGACTAGTCTTCATTCAGCATATTTTTGTAGCTATTTTGGTTTATTTTCTTTTTTGTAGCCAGTTTTGTAAATCAGTTTACTTTGGCCCTGACTGGTTTGGCTCAGTGGATAGAGCGTCAGCCTGCGGACTAAAGGGTCCCGGGTTCGATTCCAGTCAAGGGCATGTACATTGGTTGCAGGCACATCCCCAGTAGGGGGTGTGCAGGAGGCAGCTGATGTATCTAACTCTCTTTCCCTCTCCCTTCCTCTCTGTAAAAAATCAATAAAGTATATATTTTTTTAAAAAATCAGTTTACTTTGTTTCTTAAAATGGATTGTATGGATTCATTCCATCTTCTTCTTCAGAAATATGTGCGTGAACTTGAAGTGGCCTGATTCCGCTCGCAGCTGGTCCCCACAGAGTGAGGGCAGCTGGGAGTTCCAGGTGCGCGAGACGCTGGCGCCCTTTTCATCTGCGTGGACTCTCTGACCCCATCCGTCCTGGCCCCGACTCCCGGATGCCTCTCCCGGGCTCACCAAGGCCTTTACTTTGGGCTGAAAATCCTTTCTCCTAGTCGGTTCATGGGCGACTGGAGGGCCGCGGGAGAGACGTGGGGAAGGGCAGCTCCTCTCTTGTCCCCGGAAGACTGCGCGCTGTGGCACCTCCTTCAGTCCTGGGAGGACATGCAAAGAAAAAGAAGTATGTTTCCTGGGCTTCCCAATACATAGCAAAACTGTGCAGAATACCTTGTGTTTACATGTCACGTAGTGTCAGGTAACAGCTTTTATGAAAGTCTGGCCAGACAAGGGACATTCTTTGTTTTGCAGGAATGTCCACCATCCCTGGCCCTCAACCAGCATGACAACCAGAAAACTCTCACAAATTCCCAAAACCTCCCTAGGAGGTAGTACTGCTGTAACAAAGAGAGAAGAGCCCTGATGATATACTAGCATAGGATCTGGGCTGCAAGAATATAGGCCAGCCAACCTGGCAGGAAAACAAGTTCCCATAAACTACGCAACTGGATTTTACTGCAAGAGCCTAAATAAATGAGAAATTCTGACTCCTCAGTCAACCCAGTGGAAGGACTCTTGTGTTCCCTATTTTCAGCTGAAAGGCATGTTCTTGGCAAAGCTGGACACAGCACCACCACATTTGTGCACCCCGGGGTCCCTCAGCCAGGCCTGCACCCTCGTGTGCGGGAGCCTCAGTGGGACATCCTTAGTGCTGCCTGGGAGATGGGAGAGGCTCCCGCCACCACCACTGTGCTCACCAGCGGTGAGCCCAGCTTCTGGCTGAGCTGTGCTCCCCCTATGGGAGCACACTGACCACCAGGGGGCAGCCCCTGCGTTGGTCTGCCCCCTGGTGGTCAGTGTGCATCATAACAACCAGTCTTTCCTCTGTTTGGTGCATTTGCATATTAGCCTTTTATATAGGACTAGTGACTCAGTGCACGAAATCATGCGAGACCCAAACCCAGGGGAAATCGCGTGAGACCTGGGACCCCAGACTCCTCCAGCTCCACGGGACCCAGAGTCAAGTCCCCACCCACCCGTGCACACCTCGCCGCGCATGCAGCCCTGCTCCCCTGCATGCACCTCGCCGTGCACGTAGCCTCCTGGTGACCGGTCTTTGGTCATTATGGTGTTAGGGCCACTGGGTTTTTATAATATAGATAACTGTTGGGGGTCAAAAATGAGTCAGGAGAACTTTCAGGAGACAATCAGATAGGCAAGCTGAAATGTCCACGTGGCACCTGAGGAATTGGCTAGAACCGTGGTCGGCAAACTGCGGCTCGCGAGTCACATGCGGCTCTTTGGCTCCTTGAGTGTGGCTCTTCCTAAGCCTTAGAAGTACCCTAATTAAGTTAATAACAATGTACCTACCTATATAGTTTAAGTTTAAAAAATTTGGCTCTCAAAAGAAATTTTAATCGTACTGTTGATATTTTTGGCTCTGCTGACTAATGAGTTTGCCGACCACTGGGCTAGAAGATCAAGGTCAGGATGAGTTGTGGTTCGCCCTCGGTTCCTCAGTAGAGATGCAAGAGCCTACATTGCATTTGGAAAGGGAATGCCCATTTTTAAGAAAAGTATGGCCAGCCTCGTGGCTCAGGGGTTGAGCATTGACCTATGAACCAAGAGGTCACAGTTGGATAGGCTCGATCCCCAGTGTGGGGTGTGCAGGAGGCAGCTGATCCACGATTCTCTCTCATTGATGCTTCTATCTCTCTCTTCCCCCCTCACCCCACCCCTTCCTTTCTGAAATCAACTTTTAAAAATGTTTTTTTAAGAAAGAAAAGCAATGCTCTCCTAATAGTAAGGATTTCCGGTGAAGAGGTGGGGTCAGAAGGAATCAGGGATGGGAAGGGTGGGCTGTCAGCTTTGTTTTAAGGAGAAAATTTCACTGCGGCTCCGCTGACGTCTCCACAATGCGCTTGGCGGGGGCGCTGCGGGAGGAGGGAGAAGCGCTCCCGCGGTCGGGAAGGCAGCGCACCAGGGCCGGACCCCGGACCCCGCGTGCTGAGGGCGAGCCTGGCCCTTCTCGGCCCGTAGCCAAGGCCGCGTCGTGCGCGCCCTTTTCACGGGTGGTAGCTCCCAGGAGTCGAGGGGTGGAACCACCAGCCTCCCCCGAACCCCATTTTTTGCGAGGCTCGGGGGGCCTCTGTGAAGCCAGATGCACCAAAGAGCCCGGAGGGCGCGGCGTCAGGCTGGGAGGCTCCACGCACAGGGCTGTCCCCCCCCCCCCCCACCTCCCCCACTCCAGGTCTGCCTGCCCGCCTGACCCGGGCGCATCTGCGCGGTGAGTGGGCCCTGCCCAACACGCCCCGCCGGTGTCTTTCCCTTTTCAAATATTAGTTCGCTAACTTGTTCACGTGTGGATTCTGGCTATGGACGGACTTCTTGAGGAGGTGGGAGCCCAGCGTAACGCGTGGACGGCGGAGGAGCGAGCCGGGTCGCACCGAGACCGAGGGAGCCGCAGGGAGCGCGCTGTTCCTTCACTGGAGGGAGGCTGCTTCGGAGGCGCTGGTGTCGTCTGCAATGAAACTGTTTGTGCTACAAAACACTGACTATGCGCTCACGATCTTTAACAATGTGTTAATGCTTTCTGATAGAGCAGTTTGGGGATCTAAATTCAAGTTAGTACTTGTTTTCATGAAGAAAGTGCATTGCTGGCTATGCTTGCTAACCAGGATACTCATTTTCCATTCCCATTGTTATGCAAAGGTTTGTGTTTAAGCTGCTAGTGGTTTTCTGTCTTTCCTGGTCAGAATTAGTTGTTCTTGCAAACTAAGCAAAGCATCTTGCATTAAAATTTTGTAACAATGAAAGCTAGAAAAAGGACTATAGTTACGAACCCTCGGTGTCTGAAATAGTGTAAACGTGAGCTTGGAGCTGTTGAGGAATAGGTGTTTGCCCAGTTCCTAGTTGATGGCTTTTCATGCAATTTTGGGAGGTAGAGGGGCAGCTGGTGATTAACTTTTACATCCCATCAACACCATCTTTATATCACCTTTTGCCTTTACTCTCCCAACACATGTTGTCTTTTAAAATTTGCCTGTGAGAGGAAATGGAGATGGAAAGGAAAGGCAATCAGAGGATGAAACAATCTAAGAAAAGGGGCTGGTGGCCATCAAGACACCAAGTCCATACCTTTTGAGGACTTATAAGAACTTTAATATAATCTGTGGCCCAACATTTGAATTTTTTTTGTAATGTAAACTATGAAGCTGTATACCAGGCACGATTTAGCAATAGTGTATAGTTCCTGAAGCGATTCCACTATGCCACTAGGGTCAGGTAATGCTGGTTTAAGCTGTAGAAGAGAATCTCTATAATGGTAAGGAATTAGAATGTTAAAACATACTAGAAAACAATAGGAAAGTTCAATACTTGTGCTAAGACATTACATGCTACTGAATTATTAACATGAGGGTATTTTATAATTCTTTTTATTAAATAGGAACCAGTTACTCAAACAATTTAAATGCATTAGAGCAGGAGCACAATAGATCCCTAGTTGCTGAAGTGTAAATGCTTTCTTAGCAAAACATGCACGAATATATCCTAGATGCGACACAGCAAAATCTGATGTATAGTAATCCTATTCAAGAATATATTATGAGTAGACTGAATATAAACCTCCAAACAACCTTTGAAATCATCTTCTCCAAACCACTCATTTCACACAGGAAAACGAAGCTTGAAGCAGTTGAATTTTCTAATGTTACAAAGTTGCTTCGCATAATTGATTACTTCAGCCCAATGCACTTCCATCCCATAGTGTGACAGTAAAAGGTTAAAATGATTTAATCAGTTTCTCAGTCCATTCTGGTTCTTCAGTACTTGACAAAAGGACAAAGCACAGTCATATGCCAGGGTGCAGCCTCTGATGTTTGTTGAGAGCAGAGCGATACCTAAAGGCTTTTCCACAATCATCACATCCAAAAGGCTTCTCTCCCGAATGAACTCTCTGATGCTGAATGAGGTAAGTGCTCTGGCTGAAAGTCTTCCTGCATTCAGGACAGTTGTATGGCTTCTCCCCAGTGTGAGTGTTCTGGTGCTCAGTCAGGTGGGTGCTCCGGCTGAAGGCTTTGTCACATTCATTACACTTATACGGCTTCTCTCCAGTGTGGATTCTTTCATGCTGCGTCAGATGGGAGCTCTGGCTAAAAGCCTTTTCACATTTATTACACTGGTAGGGCTTTTCTTCTGTGTGAGTTTTTTGATGCTGAGCAAGAGATGAACAATGTCGAAAGGCTTTGCCACACTCACCACACTCATAAGGCTTTGCTCCTGTGTGAATTCTCTTATGTTGTGTAAGGTGTATGTTCTGGTTGAAGGCTCTCCCACATTCATTACACTTGTATGGTCTTTCTCCAGTATGTATTTTCCTATGCTGAATAAGGGATGAGCCATAACTAAAGGTTTTCCCACATTCGTGACACTGATAGGGTTTCTCACCAGTATGAATTCTTTCGTGTTTAGCAAGAGATGAACTCCGAATAAAGGCTTTCCCACATTCCTTACATTCGTAAGCTTTCTCTTGGGTATGAGTCTTCTGATGCTGATTAAGGTTTGAGAGGTAACTGAAAGCCTTCCCGCATTCACTGCATTCAAAGGGCTTTTCTCTGGTGTGGATTCTGCGGTGCTGTGTAAGGGATGAGCAATAACTGAAGGCCTTCCCACATTCATTGCATTTGTAAGGTTTTTCTCCAGTATGAATTTTCAGATGTTGAGCCAGGGATGACCAGTAACTAAAGGACTTTCCACACTCAGCACAATCGTAAGGTTTCTCCCCAGTGTGCGTTTTCTGATGCTGAGTGAGGTTGGAGTGCTGACTGAAGGCTTTCCCACATTCATTGCATTCATACGGTTTTTCACCAGTGTGAATCATATGATGACGGATAAATGTTGAGGGCCCATTGAAGGCCTTCCCACATTCATTACATTTATAGGTTTTCTCTCCAGTATGAATTTTTTGATGTTGAGTAAGGTGAGTGCTCCTTGTGAAGGTTTTATCACATTCAGCGCATTTAAATGGTTTTTCTCCTGTATGAATTTTCTGATGTTCCATAAAGTGGCCTCTCTGGCTAAAGGCCTTTCCACATTCATTACAAGTATATGGTTTCTCACCAGTATGAATTCTATGATGCTGAACAAGATGGGTCCTCTGACTAAAGGCTTTCCCACATTCATCACATTTATAGGGTTTTTCTCCCGTATGAATTCTCTGATGTTGAGTAAGAGATGGACCCTCAATGAAGCCTTTTCCACATTGATCACATTTATATGGTTTATCTCCAGTATGAATTCTTTGATGGTTTATAAGGTTTTCGCTCCTGCTAAAGGCTTTCTCGCATTCATTGCACTTGTAAGGTTTTTCTCCAGTATGTGTTCTCTGATGGCGAATAAGCGCTGAACAATAACTAAAAGCTTTCCCACACTCATTGCATTTACAAGATTTCTCTTTTTTAACTGGTTTTAAATTCTGTTTGATACTTGTTTTAGTAGCCGTCTCTTTTGGAGATACGTCCTGTTGTGGTACTAGGTTTGAACTAATATTGATGCTTTTTTCAAAGTCATGATTTACATGGTCTCTCTCCAAATGTGGTACTGTTTTCTCAGTTATTTTTATTTCCTTTAGCAATGTCTGGTCATTTGCCTGCTGCCTCTCTAGACTTTCTTCAGATACCCATGCTTCTGAGGAGTTAGAACTCCAAGACTCATCACTTTTGTGTTTTTCTACCGCTGCCTCTGGAGATGGCTCTTCAGAAGTGTCTGGCTCTGGGACTGACATGTTAGTTTCTGGTCCTGTTACCCAGTCTGAAAGAAAACATAATGCCAGCATTCTCTGAATAGAGGGGTGAAAAACAAACAGTAAATAACTGCTGTTGTGGAAATGACCTAATGAAATTAAATTTAAAGCCCTCAGGAAATGCTGAGGATTTTCAAAAATAGCCCTATTATTTGAGGAGAAATTTGGAAGGAGCTAAGGAGAATGATAACTAAATAAAAGATAAAAATAGTAAGTGAATATCTAATTCAGTTTTTAAAAAATATATTTTTATTGATTTCAGAGAGGAAGGAAGAGGGAGAGAGAGATAGAAACATCCATGATGAGAGAGAATCCTGGATTGGCTGCCTCCTGCAAGTCCCCCACCAGGGACCAAGCCCACAACCCAGGCATGTGACCTTGACCGGAATCGAACCTGGGACCCTTCAGTTTGCAGTCCGACGCTCTATCCACTGAGCCAAGCCGGCTAGGGGTAATTCAGTTTTATATATCATCTGTAAGAACTCGTAAGGGAACTCCATTTAAGGAAATTGTTAATTTAAAGAGTGACAGAGAGATGACTAAGAGGAGACACAAATAGACTAAGAGGAGGTAGTCTAAACTGAGATTTCTCACCAATGAACAACACCACAGAAATCTAATAACACTGATTTCAGGACAGAACAAACAAAAAAGACCTGGCTAAGACTGCATGGATTTTGGCCTGGAACACTGAAGTAACAGTCATATCACTGCTAAAAATGGGAAAATTGTAAACAGTAGAGGAAATAATTTAAGGGAGAGGGGAGGACAACAGTTTGACTCTAGGCGTTCTGAGAATTAGGAACAGAAATAGAGACTATAGTAGTACTTGTGGGGGTGGAAGACACCAAAAGAAGCAGAATAACCAAGATATTCAAATACAGGTTAGGAAATATCAACTCAAAAAATAAAGGAAAACAATAGCTGAAGCCATAGGAATGTATGTAAGAAAAGAACACAGGTGAGTGTGTAGGGTAATGGGATGAATAAAATATACGAATGAAAGAAGGCAGATTATTAGCAAAGAAAACAACAGATGAAACGAAAAGAAAAGTACATAATCAGGAAGTAGAGTTACACGACTGTACTTTCTACTCTGGGGTTAGGTTGTGTTTGTCAAGTCCCAAGAAAAGAAAGATGACAAGTAATGAAGCAGGGTAGTCAATGTCAGCAGATTCAGTCAAGAAAAAAGACTGTGTTTGCCCTGACCAGAGTGGCTCAGTTGGTTGAACATTGTCTCATGCACCGAGAGGTCACCAGTTGATTCCAGTCAGGGCACATGCCCAAGTTGCAGGCTCAACCCCCAGTAGTGGGAGTGTAGGAAGCAGCCGATGGATATTCTCACACCCATGTTTCTCTCTCTTCCTTCCTCTCTCTAATACCAATAAAAAGATGTTAAAAAGAGACTGTGTTTAAAAAATCTGGTAACAGGAGGGTACAGCAGACTGACCCCTGAGCTGCCAGCCCAGCCTATGACTATCACTGTCACCCCAAAAGCTCAAGCAGCGAGGCAGACCACCCCTGGCACTCGTGCCACCTGTGAGAGCAGCAGGTTCACAACAGCAGCTTCCCCAGCAGGGACCAAACAATCAAAGCAACACAGGGTTTGGGAAACAGCCACCCACAGAAGTGATACTAAGAAAGACATATTTGTACAGCAGGTGGCCATAAAGATGACCTCCCCTCCTAGTACTTCACAATGAAGGACTGGAGACCACGGCACCTGATGCTATTAAAGGAGAAAAGGCCAAGGAAGTGGCTAATCTCCAGCCCTGGTTGGAATTCCAGTTGAAGACAACAAAATGTGACCTATGCTATCCACACTGTCATGTCTTCTACATAAGTTACCAGAATACCAGGGGTGGGCAAGGAGTGAAGGACTGGAGAAAGTTCAAGAAGGCCAGACTGAACAGCACCAGAGGGATTGCACAAAGCCATTTCCACTTCACCACATGGAAAGCCTATGGGCACTGAGTAATAATCGAGGGGGTTGACAACCAGCAGCAAAGGAACACCGTGGGCCAGTGAGAAAGACTACACATCAGCATATGGTCATGACTCTGCTGGGGCCAGGTCACAAGGCAGCCTAGAAAGGATGTCAAGAAAGAGGGTAAGAAAAATCATGCAGACAGGGCCCAGGACCAGGACCCACCTCAGTGTAGGTACCAACACAACTTCAATGACCTGTACAGATGCCTGCAGAACTATAAATCAAGTCACAGACATGAAAGCAGCAAGTCACCAGCGAAAGGTAAGTCTACTTCAAATGCTGAAGAGGGCAGGACCAGGGCAAGCTTGCCAAGACTGTCGTCACTGGCTCACTTCCAGCAACAAAAAGTGAACAAGAGACTGGAACTAAATACTTCAAGTGATGGTCTTCTGCCCACCGGAATTATCTACATCATCTGTGCAACAGGTTGTATTATTTTTTTACCTAAATATAATCTCTTTTTGGTAATGACTAAAGCATTAAAAAAAACACTAGGATTTTTTTTCAATACCTTTTTAAGTATTTTTAAATTGTTTTATATGTGCTCAAGTTGGGATTTTTAAAGACTTTTTATTTATTTATATTTTTTTATTGATTTCAGAGAAGAAGGGTGAGGGTGAGGAGGGAGAGAGAGATAGAAACATCAATGATGAGAGAGAATCATTGATTGGCTGCCTCCTGCACGCCCCTTACTAGGGATCGAGCCTGCAACCTGGGCATGTGCCCTTGACCGGAATGGAACCCGGGACCCTTCAGTCCGCAGGCCGATGCTCTATCCACTGAGCCAAACCAGCTAGAGCTAAAGACTTTGTTTTTAATTCATAATAAAACTTGGAAGAAGGGGATGGGGTGGAAGTGGAGGAAGGTATAGGGAGCATAAATGATGAAAAAAAGATTTGTTTTTAAATATACACACCAAAGACAAAAAACAACAACACAAAAGTTAATAAGCACAAAGTTAATAAGTCTCTTATTTAAAAATATATTAGTTTTCTAAATTGCATTCCATGAAACCATATTCTAATATAAAGGTTATAAAGCTGCAGTGTGAAAAAAGATTCATGACCGGGAGTGGGGAAATGTTACATTCTATGCAACTCTGTTGGAAATTCATAATGCCCAGCTGTGTATTTTAAAACTATGTGAGTGGTCCTCCAGTAATTAACTTGCTAAAATTTAAGCTAATAGCACTTTCCACATTTGAACATGGCATGCTTTTTTTTTCCCTCCATAAGACAGAACTCTGGTGGGTGGGTGGGAAGAGATTAACCAAAGAACTTGTATGCATATATGCACAACCCATGAACACAGACAATAGTGTGGGGAAGGCAACAGGTGAATGAGGGGGACAGGTGAATGAGGGGAAAGAGGACATTGGTAATACTTTCAACAATAAAGATTAACAACAACAACAAAAAGAACCGCACTCCCACCTCATTCTCTCCGGAGTGTTCTCCCTACCTAGAGTGACTAAGTTTGCACATTTTCCAGGATCTGGTCTTTGAAGAGGTCTCTCTGTGCAGTTTGGGAATTAATGCTTTACAAGAAAGTATAATTTCAAGGATAGTCTGGTAAAGTGACAGAATCAGAAGCTGATATTAAGAATCACACTGATACTAAGAAAGGTATGCAATCACTACTGCAGAGGGTGGATGGGAAGCAAGGAGGCAGATTGGATGGTAGCCAAATAGATTAACCATGTTGAATGAAAGTACTTGGAAATTAAGGTTACCTACTTCTATTTGAAGGTACTAATGATACAGCCAGTCACCCAAAAGGAAAGGGCTGGAAAGTGAAGTGATAATTATGAACTAAGGTTCCCAACGGAGATGGGAAAAGATGGGATCCAGAACTAGTGAAGAGGTTACCTTTACATAAACTTTATAAAGGCAGGGAGAGTACCTTCTCTGAGGAGTATAAAAATAGAATATGTGCTGAGACAGTGTTTTGACAAAGCATAGGGGAGTCCAGGTGGCATCCCATTTCTCCACAGGAAGCAAGTACATCCACATTTCAGACATGAGATCCTCTTGCCAGGCTGGTGGTTTGGGTTAATGACATTCCTCTCCGGGAACCATTACTTACCTCCAGAGCCGCCCACTGGAATGCCTGAGTCCACAATCCATGGCTCTGTCCCTTGCTCTAACTGGGAAATCACATCAGGTTTGGAAACTTGGAGTCCTGCTCATGAGGAAGAAAAAAAAGACAGGTACCTGTCTGCAGTGAGGGAAACGTGCCAAGTCAGAATTCCTTTTCACCACTTTGTCTCAAGAGGAAAGGACATGCAGGACTGATCCGATGGGAATGACTAGTATATCAAGCGTCAGTGTTACAAATTCCCTGACACGGTATAATTTGGGAACTGATCTGGGTTCAGAAAAATTATTAGTCTGTCCTACTCGCTAGGAGAGAGAAACCTGTTCCAGGCATTTCAAAATTAGGAATCCTTGGTTCTTTACCTTAAAGGCAAAATTCACCTAAGTACAAGATAACCCCCTTCCTCCTTTATCCCCCAGATATTAACTCAGACATCATCCTTACCTATAGAGACCAGGTGTGTATAATTTTCCAAAGTCACATCCCTGAACAAATCTCTCTGTACAGGATCCAGCTGTTTCCATTCTTCCCGCGTAAAGTCCACCACCACATCCTTGAAGGTCACTGATTCCTGAAATACAAACACATTTCTGCTGGACCACAAAGCATTTACCTAAGAAAGGGGTACAGTTAGCAATACTGACAGATAAGGCAAGCTGTGGGCTATCTGAAAAATGATTCTGGTATTTCCTCCTTTGTAAAATGAATATGAAAACATAAACCAAAAGGTTGGGGGTTCTATTCCCGGTCAGGACACATAATCACGTTGCAGATTCCTTCCCTGGTTGGGGCATGTACGGAAGGCAACCAATTGATGTTTCTCTCATATAGATGTTCCTCTTTTTCTCCCTAAAATCAATAAAATATATCCTCTGGTGAGGGTAGGAAAAAACAACAATTAATGGTTCACAAATGGTCTATAGAATAAAGCTTTCAACTTCTTATCTAGACACGACCTTTCATATTCCAACCTTATTCAACCATTTGTTTACTATTTGCCCAAATAAATCATCTTCTCCAATTTTTCATGAATCCTATATGACACCAGCTAATTCTTATCTGTTAACTTTTGTTCATAATCTTTATCCATACTCAGAATATACCTCAACTCTCTGACCTTATTTGTCCATCTACATCTTATTCATTCTCTATTTTCCACAGCATTCATCTCACCTTTTAAATATTTACCTGCCACACTGAAGCATGGCAAACTACTAATAAAAAAGAGGTAAGTGGTAAATGCATTAGTTAAGCTGGAGAGGCAGAACTAGGAAGTACATCCAATGGGAGCCCAGAATGAAACACAACATTGGTTTTTGGATAAATATACCCCACAGCAAAAGAATGTACGATCCCACTCTAAGGGCTGAAATGGCATTTCAGGAAATCCCAACTTACCTGAAAATTGGCTGATGGGAGTCTAGTATGCCCCGCTTGGAGAAGGGCAGATACTGGAGAGGGCAGACCTAGGCAAGGAAGAAGAAACCAGTGAATCCTGTCCAACACAGCTGCTCCCAGCGATCTGTCAAGTCCACTTGTTTTTCTATTTGAAAATAACAGGAATTGTGCCATTTCCTTTAATTCACAGAATCCAAAGAAGAATCAAGATAATTGCTGACGAGGGCCCTGATACTCTCATTGGTAGCTTGAGAAGGTAAATCATTACTTTAAGATTCACAATTTTGTCTCTAGATACTTACAGCCATATGGATCACACACTCAATCTATGTTCCTATTAAGTGAGGCAAAATATTTCTGGGCTTCCTCTGTTACATAAAAAAATATGACTACTTTCCAAAAGTCTTCACAGGCCTTTTGAAACTTTGCTATTAATGCAAATCAAATGTCACAGGGGTGTATACTAACTTATACTACTTACAAGAATGTCTACAATTAAATGGACATGGTCAATACAACTGCTGGCATGGGGGCAGGAACTCGGGGGTGGCTTTCTCCCAGATGGCAGTGCTCGCAGGGGTCACTGTTCCGTGCTGGGGCCTCCCCCATTGCCGAGCTGACTGGCAGCCATGGCTGAGTTCCCATCAGCATGGTGCACACTGTTCACTCTGCCCTGGTGATTCCCTGAGAGCCCGCCCCATCCAATCTGCAGCCCCACCCAAGCTGTTTGCAGTGGCTTTTCCATATGAATGGTCTGTCCTGGCTCAGGCTTCAGACTTTTAAAAAATCTCTTAAACAAGCAGCAGCTGGCATGAGCATGCCCCAAATCTATCAATAAGAGGCCTAAGACCCAGCACAAGGACCATCCGCCTTCCTTCACAGCTGGACCTCGCATGGGCACTTCCAAGCCCAACACAAATAGCAGCCACCTGGTGATCTCTCTGTAGCTCCTGCTGGGTGGCCCCAGGCAGTGACTGACTGTGCCCCTCCAGGGAGGCCCCAGAGCCAGTGGACAGCTCAGACCAAAGCAGATTACAACTCTACATGTCCACAAGCGAAACACTCAAGGGGCAGACTCAGTGAGCACCAAAGCCCCACTGAAGCAAATCCTACTCCATAGGGATGTTTTCTGCACAGCAGCTCTCCCACTGTAGTCACAGCTGGTCCTCACAGCCAATTGGCCTGGAGGTCAATTCCTCCCAGTGACGTCAACAGCAATCAAGGTTCAACTACAACAAGACTGTGCACACAGCCCACACAGGGATGCACCTAGAGTGCCCAGCTCAGGTGACTGGGGAAGCTGAACTACTGGGCCTTACCAGACACCTACTACCAAGGTCACTCTACCAATTCCAGGAGACATAGCAGCTCTATGCAGGGGGCATGCAGGAAGCAGCTGATCAATGATTCTCATCATTGATGTTTCTCTCTCTCCCTCTCTGAAATTATATATATAAAAGAATTGAGACAAATATAAGGTATAGCTCAACCTACATAAATAATATAATGTTAAGACTTCTAATGATATTAAAGAAACGCAAGAAAATGACTGTGTAATAATAGTTAGGTTAAACCAAACTGACTGCATAGCCATACCTAAAGAATGTAAAGACAGTGACAATGCAGAGGAAAGTCTACAGGGACATGTCACAGAGCTCTTTTCTTACCCTCATCTGTTTGGTGACATGTAGGAAGAAATAGAAGGGATATTCAATAAATCTGCTAGTTACATAAAGTTGGAAAAGAGAGTTAAAACAATGAATAACTAAATTAAGATTATTAATTATTCTGACAAGCTGGAGCTCTTGGCCAAAATATTAAATAATCACAAATGTGAACTCTGGCATTAGGGATAAAAAAAACAATTCTATTACACAAAGATGGCCTGAATCTAGTTCATTGCAAGTTATGTAAAAATGATCTAGGGTTTACAGCATAATATCGCTAATTTTTAAAATCCAAATACAATCTGATACTAAACCACAGAAGTATAATCCAAATTGAAAGAAGTAGTACATCATACTTTTAGTATTTTTGAAAGCACATTCACTGAACTGTTTCATTTTTAAGAAGCACGCTGTCATTGCCGTAGAGTTTCAGAGGTCTCACTATATCACATGAACAAGCATCAAAGGAACGGAGGCTATTCTGCTTAGAAACGAATTTGTGAATAGGATTTAATAGCTGATTTGACGCACCTGAAGGACAGCGGTGTGAGAGTGAAAACAGTTTTGCTTTGGGGACTCCAAGAACTAAGATCAATGCAGAAGTTAAGGAACAGGCACTTCTGTCTAAATAAGGGATTAAAAAGAGAGAGGAGGGGAAAGTCTGCACACAAAATGGAGAGTTTAATGCCACACTCGTACAGGATCGGCCCCGGATGGCCATCTCCCATCGATATTTTAAAAAATTATTTCTTGCATTGAAAGAATGATTGCCAAGACTCTTTTTCTGACTTCAAGATTACCTGATCTAGCCCTAACTGGTTTGGCTCAGTGGATAGAGCGTCAGCCTGAGGACTCAAGGGTCCCAGGTTCGATTCCGGTCAAGGGCATGTACTTTGGTTGTGGGCACATCTCCAGTAGGGAATGTGCAGGAGGCAGCTGATCGATGTTTCTCTCTCATCGATGTTTCTAACTCTCTATTCCCTCTCCCTTCCTCTCTGTAAAAAATCAATAAAATATATACTTAAAAAAAGATTACCTGATCTCTAATAATAAAAGCGTAATATGCTAATTAGACCTGATGTCCTTCCGAAGGACTTTCTGGACAAAGCGGGGGCTGTGAGGGAAGCCTGGGTCTCTGGTGCCTGCCAGCCGGCAGCCGGGGGAAGGAAGGCCTACTCTTGCACAAATTTCGTGCATCGGGCCTCTAGTATTTAATAAATATAAGTCATGTGAGGATCACAGACATTCTGCATCATTCCTCCTGTCGTTCCCCAACCCCCAAGCCGGGGAGAGTTAACTCCCTCCAATATAAATGGGTCTCTTTGCTTGATTCTTAAATAGATTTCCTCCTTCCGCCGCTTCCAGCTGACAAGTACTAGTATGTGATCTTCAAGTGATGACTATCTTTTGCCTCCATCATCACACCCCCACCCCCTACCCCCACAACCTCCGTCGTCCCCACTACCTTCCATCTCAGGAGCTCATCCCGTTCCTCTGGAACCCGCTCGCCAGGGTTTCCCAAGCAGCGTCCCTCCAGTGCGTCCTCAGTCTGGGGCTCAGGGATCCAGACAGAACTCTGCACCTGCACCCGCGCTGAGGATGGCCTAGGAGACACGGGGCGGGTCAGCAGCAGGCGTCACAACCAACCCTCTGAGTTCTGCGTGGTGCCAGGAGGTCCTTGGGGAGAGCCGTGCCGGCAGTGCACTCCCGCTGAACAAAGCAGGGAGCCCGGGACGCAGGCTCAGCCCAGGACCAGGAAAACCCTCGGTGCCCCCCCCCCCCCGCCCCCGAGAATCTGGCCGGAGGCGCCCACAGGACTTCCCCTTACCTTCCTCCCCTGCGGGCTGGGACTGTAACGCACACCTGTTGCGGGGGCAGAGAGCTGGAAGGTGGCCTGGTGGGCGGGGCCAGCGCCGTCCTTCCCCCGGAGCGGAACAAAAGAACAAAGCCGTCCGCGGGATCCGGGCGGAACCGCCCGCGCTGAAGCTGAAGGCGGCGTGGGGCGCCCCCTTCCAGGACTCCCCCGCTCCCTCCGCAGAGGCCTTTCCAAGCTGGGCGAGCCGGGTGACGTCACGCGACCGGAGAGCTGACGGTTGCCATGGTGATATGTAGGCTTCCCTCCAAAGCGATCCACAAGCTCCGATAGCTGGTCCGGAAGCGCCGGGAGGATTCCCAAACCTAGAGCCGCTAAACTGGCCCAGCGCCTACCTCCGTCCCGGTCTACAGTGGCTTCAACGGCCACTTCCGGTCGTCTGGAGAGACCCCGCCCCCGTCCACGGGAGCGTGAAAGCGCTGGTGGACACACAGGACTACGATTTCCAGAATGCTCCACGCGCTGGCGCAGGACTACGATTCCCAGGATGCGTCACGCGCTGACGCAGGACTACGATCCCCAGGATGCTCCGCGCGCTGACCCATTTCCCAGTGGCCTCGGTCACCGGGTGAGACCCCGTCGCGCCGGCCGCCTTGTCATTTGCCCGGAACCGCTTCGGTGGAGGGGTGCACTGGAGCGCGGACTCGAGTTTGTGGCTCGGACAGATCATAAGAAATACACATTTTCACGCATGTAATTTTAAAAAGCAAACATTTCGCCATGCATGAAGTACTTTTATGACCTGTCCCGCACTCTATTCAGTGTTCTATGCCTTTTTAAAAAAATTCTGGTCCTGACCCACTGTATTGCTTTTATGACTCCCAAATGTGTCGCAACCCATAATTTTTAAAATGCTGAAAGAATCGGGAGGTGGCGTCACCATGTTTTGCCCGACTGCAGTGCAGTGGGACGTCGGTAGGTTTTTATATTTTTAAATACGTGGCCTACGCATTTTACTGCGCTTGTCTGTGTCCACAGCACTTGGACAGGGGCTAAAATCAAGTGACTCAACCTGTTGGTTTACAGAACTTAACTCGGAAATCCTAATAGTAAATGGACACAAAGTTGCCGTCAAGGAAGGAACAATATCTAGAAGTCTCTCAAGAGCAGATTTCCGGGCGGCGGGGGTCAGTAGGAACTAGAAAATTTAAAGAAACAATTTGGTATTCTCAGTAGATTGCAAGAAAACATGGCATAAATGAAACTCGAAAGAAAGCTGTGAGAGAACACTTGAAATAAAGACACGAAGTGAAAAGGAATACAAACATATAGCACACATTTAAAATGCAGCAACAATTAAAGTTCTGGAGAAGAACTGGCGCTGTGGCAACGTGAATCAGTTGCGTGCAGGACATTCTTTTAAAGCTCCTCCATGACTGGAAGAAAGAGACGGGTGATAAAGGACAGGAAGGAGCGCCAGGTGTGGACAGTCGGCACGCCAGGAAGGACCAGTGAAGTCAGCTACCATTTCACTTCTGTGTGTGCCAGGGAGTGTCTTAGTGCACCCCATCTGTTTATTTAATTCTTGGAACAACCTAATGAAGTTACTTCTGTATTATTGTTTCTACTTTACGACGAAGGAAACCGAGGTACAGATAAGTTCAATAACCTGCCCAAGTTCGCATAGCCAGTAAATGGGGAAGCTTGGACCTCAATTTAGTAATCTGGTCCCAAACTCTCACTTTCAGTCTCTAACACTAGACTCCCTAGTCAAGAGATTAGCAATTTTCTGAGTTTAAGAAACATCAATCAACCAATGAATGAATTCATAAATGAGTGGAACAAATAGATGTTTCTCTTTTTAAAATTAATAAATAAAGAAGAAAAAATACATCTCTTATTCCTTGCTGGCGGGCATGCAAAGTGGTATAGCTACTTTGGAAGACAGTTTGGTAATTCCTTACAAAACTAAACAAAAAAGGGTGGAAATTTACAGAATGTGTATAGATTAATAATTTAAGATCTAACCCTTAGTTATTTGCACAATGAGTAAGATTTTAGTAATAACTTGTTATTTTTAACTTAAAAATACATAGTGAATATCTTATATAATATCCTATATAATAAAAGGGTAATATGCAAATCAACCTAATGGAAGAAGGACCGGTCGCTATGATGTGCACTGACCACCAGGGGGCAGATGCTGAACATAGGAGCTGCCCCCTGGTGGTCACTGTGCTCCCACAAGGGGAGCCCAGCTCAGCCAGAAGCCGGCTCAAGGCTGGCAAGTGCAGCAGCAATGGTGGGAGCAGGCCTAAGCCGTCAGTCAGACATCCCCTGAGGGCTCCTAGATTGAGAAAGGGCACAGGCTGGGCTGAGGGACCTCCCTCCCATTCCCCCCCCCCCCCATGCACGAATGTGATGCACCGGGCCTCTGGTTCATGTATAATGTACCTTTCAGTGACAGCAAAAGTATTACATCCTACTGATGGATTTTTTAAAAAGGAAAATATTTACTGAAATTTAACAGATACACAAAGAAAAGCATATGAAGGTGAATGACAATATATTTACACAAAGCAAACACACCCTTGTACCTAGCACCCAGTGTGCGAACCAAAATCGGTACCAGGGGCTCCCCCAAGGGTAGTGGGGCCTCTCCGTCTGCACCCGACAAGGTAATAATCCTTCTGATTTCTAATGCCATAGGTTCGTTTCACCTGTTCGCAAGCTTCCAACAAATGGAATGCACTATAGTGTGTCTTCTTCTGTGTCTGGCTTTATCAGTTTTTGAGATTTCACCGTATGGAGTGTGTACTTACAGTTTCTTCACTCTTTGTGGTGTGTATTCCACTGTATAAAAAAATCCACTATTTTTTCTACTGTAGACGGACATTTGGTTTGTTTCCAGTTTAGGGCTAAAATAATAACTAATTTTTGTTTCCTGCAACTCAAGCCTTACTCTCTTCTGTTACCAAAATCTAGTCTGCCATGTTTTTCCCATCCAGTAAAACAGAGTTGCAGTTACGTCCAGTCCTTGTTCATTGTTACCCTAAAGCAAACAACCAGTTAATAATTTTAGTTCCAACAATCACGGATTGCTTTCTATTTTGCAGGTGTTATTAAATACAAAAGTTTGCTTATTTATCTATCTATTTATTTATTTATTTTGGTATCTAACTTCAAGCAAAGCTAGGGTTCCAAAAGACTTGGGGGAAGGGGATCATTTATGTTTGACAAAAATGTGTGCACCAAAAAAACCAAAACAAAAAACTGATATGTATAAATGATGGACAACAATCCTTTCACCTAAAGGTTTGTGTTCATCTTACAAAGCCTGTCTGTATGTGGGTTACAGATTGACTAAAGCA